GTCCCGGAAGTGTCCTCCTTTAGGAATATTCCACTCTTAGGACAAGATGGGGAGCTTAGAGGAGCTGAGGAGCTTAGAGGCCGTGTGGCTGGGTGGTGACCAGCACAGTAACCAGTCCAGGCACTGCCAGCCAGCTCATCGCCCCCCGCCCTGTGTCCTGCCTGTCAAAGCGGGAGCGACAGGGTGGCCATGTGACAGGGTTTGGAGGATTGTTATGAAATGACGCCTTTCAAGTGCCAAGCCCAACGCGGGACTCAATAGGACACTGGTGGTTTCCAAACCTTTCCAAAAACACTGCCTACCACCTGTCAGAATTCAATCTGAGACTCCGTTGCCCCTCACTGGCCCTCCCCCTTTGTAAAGTGTTCCTTTTAAGTCTGAAAAAAAACATGCAAGTCAAACAAAAAGGCAGTGGAAGTACTGTTCGTCCCCACTCCCATCCCCGTGACCTTAACACAATTCCCAGGGAAGCAAATAGCATTTAGTGAAACAGATTTCATTCCAAGGCCAACACTTCTGGGTTTTGGGGGCTGTGTTTTTTCAGCTCCAGCTGCAGTTTGGGACAAAGAGGGTGCTTTTTCCATCGGGAGTAAACACGAAATTCTTTTAACTTATAAATCGGAGTTTTGTACGGGGGGGCGGGGCGGGGGGGCAAAAATGAGTAGCTGTTGTGTGTGATTAAAACTCAGGGAAGATTCTGGGCAAACAGACCAGCAGCGTCTGGGCCCCTGGGGCCCCCGCAGAGGTCCAAGCTGCTCCTGAGCAGGCCGGGCAGGGCTGGGACGTGCCCTCTCTCCGGCCGGCACACCTGGTTGAATGTGGGGGCCTCTGCCGTGTGCACTGCTGCCCTGTACTGTTTCATTTTCACTCCAGGGGTCCTCCCCTACCTCTTGGGGATTCTGGGCTGTCACACTCGTCCCTTTGAAGTGCGGCTCTAAAAACACAGGGAGGAGGGCGTTCTGGCCTCTGCCAGGCCGTACCTAGAGCCCACCCAGATACTACCTGCCGAGAAGAGCTCTGAGGTCTGTCCAGGGCTTAAAGAAATCTCATAAAAAAAGGCAAGCTCCGTATTGGGCGTTTTCGTCTTTGTTGTCTAATCCAACGCTTTTGGCTTTTTTGTTTCTTCCAAACATTGCAGACCCCGAAGTTCTCCGTAGATGTTAGCAGACACCACGCGCAGTGAACTGCGTCTGTGCCAATCCCAGCCAGTGTGTATGGCCTGGAACTGGCCCTTCCTTTATCTGCGGGGATCGCAGGATAAATCTGATTCTGGAAGTACACGTGCCATCGCTTCTGCTCTGGTTTTTTGGGCCCCACGTGCTTGTTTCATAGTGATTTGCATGGTTGTCGAGTGCTCAGGCTGTGCACTCAGGCCACCTGAGTTCCAGTTGTGCGGCTTCGGGCTGGTTCCTCTGCCTGAGCTGGTTCCTCAGCCTGAGCCAGTTCCTCTGCCTGAGCTGGTGTTGCTCCTCTGGAAAGTGGAAAGAGCAACAGTATCTACTTCCAGGTTTGGGGAAGATGAAAGCAGACAGCGGATGGACAGAATCATGCGAGCACTACCTGGCCCAGAGAACGTGCTCAATATAGTGCAGTGATGGCGAACCTATGACACGCGTGTCAGAGGTGACACGCGAACTCATTTTTTTGGTTGATTTTTCTTTGTTAAATGGCATTTAAATATATAAAATAAATATCAAAAATATAAGTCTTTCTTTTACTATGGTTGCAAATATCAAAAAATTTCTATATGTGACACGGCACCCGAGTTAAGTTAGGGTTTTCCAAAATGCTGACACGCCAAGCTCAAAAGGTTCGCCATCACTGATATAGTGTCATCATTGCCCCCAGGCCTGAGCCCTAAGGCGTTAGTGCCTCTTGCAGATGGAACCACAGACCTGGGGGCTTAAAACAACACACATTTACTACTTTACTGTTCTGGGGCTCAGCAACCTAAACTGGGTCTCACAGAGTTAAAGTCAAGGTGCCGGCTGGGCTGGTTGCTCCTGGGGGCTGCAGGGGAAAGCCCACTTCCTGTCCAGAGGCCTGGCAGTCCTCGCTCTGTCCTGTCCTCAAGCCAGCAGGGAGCACCTTGCAGCCTCAGGCTCTGCTGCTGTCCTCACACCTGCCCTCTGGCCATCCTGCCTCCCTCGCAGGGACTCTTATGATCACATGGGTCCCACTCAGAGAGTCCAGGATGACCTGCCCATCTAAATCCTGAACCTAATCACACCTGCAAGATCCTCTTGTAAGGTGACAGTCTCAGCTTCTGGGGACTAGGACATCTTTGGAGCCATCATTCTGCCCATCCTACTAGTTCCCAGCCTTTCATTGTGTTAGTGGCTAAGTGGGCATTAATTAGCCTCCGCTCCCCAGGTAAGACCGAGGGTAGCCGGGCTCCCACTGCGGAGGGACGAGTGGAGCACTGTGTGATGTGGAAGCTGGTGACCACCGCTGACATCCCTGCTCCTGACCTGGAGGCTCCCCCTTCTTTGATTTGTGCACAGAACCCCAGCAAAACCACCACGACAGACAGCGACCTCAGCAAAACAGAGGAGAAAAAGCCAAGCAAGTCACAGCAGCTGAAGAAGGTTTTCCAAGAGTACGGAGCCGTCGGCGTGTCGGTGCACATTGGAATCTCACTAGTCTCCCTGGGCACGTTTTACATGGTTGTTTCGAGGTGAGATTGCCGACAGTAACAAACGTTCGTTTTCTACTGTCACGGAGGTTTTTTGGGAATAATTACTTTCTGTCCAAGACTTTTTATTCATCTAGCTATTGTCATCACATTTTTAAAAATAATGTAAATCTCAGAGCCAAATCGTTGTCTCCGTGTAACCCCTTGCTCTAATAATTGTTTTGTTTTTGCCTCTCTGCCCTCCAGTGGTGTGGACATGTCAGCCATCCTGCTTAAGCTCGGATTTAAGGAGTCATTGGTCCAGTCAAAAATGGCCGCGGGCACAAGCACCTTTGTGGTGGCCTACGCCATCCACAAGCTGTTTGCACCCGTCAGAATCAGCATCACCTTGGTTTCCGTGCCCTTGCTTGTCAGGTATTTTCGGAAAGTGGGATTTTTTAAACCTCCCCCTGCAAACCCTTGATGAGCTCTTCAACTGTGGGCCTGGAGACCCCTTTCTGTTAAATTACACAATTCGGATTGATTTTAGGATTGTAGGGGTTTGTTTGTTTGTTTCGGGGGCAGGGGCTACTTTCTATGTTCTCATGGATAAGTTTTACTTTTGCCAGCAAAATTCGCGTGTTTAAGTAATTGTAATTTGTCTTGCTTTATAAATTTTGTTAGGGCTACTCACCATAGGGCTTATATGCATTATCTAAAATGTCAGCAAAACATCACAAGTGAGTCGTCATCGTCAACTGTTAGCTTACTAGCTTACTTTAGAACTGTTCCTCTGAAAGATGGCCCTAGGGGTCCATCTTTGTTCACATTCTTAAAGAGCAACAATTCATTAAGCTAATTTTAAAATTCCCTTTCCTCCAGTATTTGTGGTCAGGCTGCCTGCGGTTTAATATGCAATATTCTGCAGAACAGCTGCCAGTGCTGCCATTAATGAAGCAGAATTGAAGACTTAACAATATGTAATAATCAGCATCAACACCTTTACATTCGTTACACTTGTCTGGGGGAAAGGAAAACAAGTATTTCCGGTGTGTTTCCTTAGTCCCCAAATCCCGTCAAATCCAGACAAGCCAGGGCCTAGCTCACGCTGTTTTTCTCAAATTTCATGAAAGTAGGTCAGGGTCATTTGTCTCTGTCCAGCAGTAATGGTGTCCTGTGGCTCCTGCAGCCCAGGTCCTCAGAGGATGTGGGCATGGCACATATGGAAAGCTGAGACAGTCCTGGCCTAACCCTGTATCTCAAACTCCAAACATTCCAGAACTGTCAGTGTTTACATTCTGTTGCTGCTTCTATTTTTCAACTATGTTAAAATTATGTACAGTAACAGATTTTGAATCTCGCTCTAGAAAAGGGTAGTAGCACTTGCTATACATGGAAGACAACTGTGAAATACAGGAGGCGGGGAGGGAAGGAATGTCTCCATTGCCTGCCCTGGAGGAGCCGGCCTGTGGGACTCAGCATCAGTCCACGCTGCTGCCCTCCAGGCTGCGCTCACACTGAGCCTGGCTCCACACTCTGGGAACCGCAGTCTAATCAGTTCTGCCCTGGTCAAGGGAGTTAGTTGTGTTTCTTTCTGGCTCCCCTTTTTGCCCCCCATCTCCCAGTTTGTTTCATTACACTTGGGACAATCAGAAAACTAAAGGTTCTATATAACCTGACAGTCCTGATTTTATGATCTGGCTGTTGACAATTCCCTAGTAATCCATGTCAGTCGCTTCAGTTTTACAAATGTCATTATGGGACGAATTCCCCATTTGTAAGATCTCTAGAGTGGATCATTTTGTTGTATTCCTTTCAAAGCAACTAGCTCAGTGCCAAAAGGTTTTACCAGTTTCAGGTTGAAACTGTCTTTCTGGGACATCCACACAGCGGATCGAGATGCCCGATACTGGTTCGAGGTCACTCTTCATGTGGATCAGACCAGCATTTTCTTTTTTTTTAGAGAATAGGATAGAAACATCAGTGAGAGAGAAACATGATTGGCTGCCTTCTGCATGCCCCCACCGGGGATTGAGCCCACAACCCAGGTATGTCCTGACAAGGAATCAAATCCGTGACCTTCTGGTTCATGGATTGATTCTCAACCACTGAGGCACACTGGCCTGGGAGACTAGCATTTTCATCTCATCTGTCTTTATTTAAACCATTGGCTTCGGGCGTCTAACCCCTTTCTATATCAAACAGATCCCTCGAAATGCCTATGCAAAAAAAAAAAAAAAACCTGACTGACTCCTGCAGATTTAAGGGCTTAAATTTTAAACTTTGATTCTGTGTTTGGAGTGACGGGAGTGGACTGAAAGGGCAAGCAATATAACTAATTATCACATCAAATAGCCATAGCGTCTCTTCTAAGCCCTGACTCCACTCCTCTCCCATGGCCAGTGGTCAGAACAGCAGAACCGAGAGGGTAAGGAAATTAAAGGATCATTATGTCAGCTTACCAGCAAGATCTACAAATGGCTTGTATTTTCACTGTTTTTATGTAACTAGAAATAAAACGGATGATCTATTTTTAACATGTAAAGCCATTGTTCACCTCTCATTTTTTTATCTAACAAAATGAGCAGCTTAAGTGCCGTGAAACAAACCTCTCTGTAGTTTATGAAACTTTGATTGCTCTTCTGGTGAGCAATAATTGATGCTGATTATGAAGCAGCACTGTGTGACTATAATGGCTATATTCTTGCTGTGTGCGATTCTGGTTGGGGAAACGGCCGAAGTTTAGCTACAGTAACAGGTAAAGTTAGTCACGTCATATTAACTAGCCGGGGTGGAGGGTACAGGAAGTATTACTACTTTGGAAAGTGGGTTCAGCTCAAAGCTCATTGGACACTGCAGTTGCGTTTTAAAGTTGCCATATCATCAACATTGATATGGAAGTGGGTATTGGCCACTTCCTTATATTTAGGACATTTTTGATATTTAGTCTCTTGCATTGAAAGTTGGCCATGAAAGCATATTTGTCTACTAATTCTCAGTAAGTTCAACACTTCCACCTTTTCCTTCGTCCTTGTCAAGTTGACCATCTTTGGTTGATGAGCAGATGACGTTGGCAGCTAGAAACAGATAGGTAACTCTGCATGTTAGGAGGCACATAGAACATGAGACCAAAAATGGGACAGACCTGCTTCTTGTGGCACCTGCTCATTTCCAGGCCAACAGTGAACAGGTGAAGTCACCCCCATACTCCAGACCATGTTTGTGTATTTGTTTCAAGTGTACACATATGCTGTAACTCCAGTGTAATAGAAAAATAAGCCCCGCAGGTGTGCCATGGAGCCAGGTGACCGGAGAGCACAGAAAGAAGCCTCCAGCTGTGTGGAAGGGGCTTCCACTGTTATAAGCCACAGTGAACAATGGTCAAGCCCAGATCCCTGTTTGGGGAGAATGAGAGATTCTGGTTAAGGGAACATTCCTTCACCAGAGAATCAAGACAGAGACCACACTTGGAAAGTCAGCTTGCAAAGAACCAGCTCACCCCGTGTATGGGCTCTTTGCCATCCTGCTGAGACCAGGTCAGACCCCGAGGTGGGCAGGCGGGGATGTGGATGCCCATGACTCCTCCCCCTGTCTCCTGACCACCTGCAGCACTGACTCAGAACCCTCCTCCACTCAGTCCCTGTGCCAGCCCGGGAGCACCCACTTCTGCTCAGTGACTGTCAGTCGAGTCCCCAGGACGAGGACCACCCACTGAGGAGTCCAGCTCCATGAGCTGGGCTGTCACCGAGCACTGCACTGCATGTCCACTGCCTAGAAAAGGAACTAACACTTCATGGACACACGGCACAGGTGAAGGATGGAGGGTGCACCATCTGCTACGCGGTCACAGCCATAACTCCCCACTCCCGTGCCATGTTTCCCACCATCCTCCTTCAGCAGCAGGGACTTCTCGCCACACCAGCCTCCAATCTTTAAATCCTCCATGTCCTTCAAGTCTCAGATGCCACCTGCTGGGCACCTCTCCCAACTCCTAATTACCCCATCACAATCTGTCCCCTCCCGCCCCCCACCCATGGTCAGTGGCCATTCTCCCAAGCTGTGTCCCCCACCACTGCAAGTAAGTGAGAGAATGGAGGTACCCCCAGTCCCAAGCCAAGCCCAGCACTGCTCAAAGGGTGCACTGTGAGCTCCTGGAAAACACTATAATTTCAAGGTTATACACGAGAACTTGAAAAAGAGTAACCATTTTGTATGTCTTAATGTATTTATAAAAACAATATATAAACCATGAAAAAACATTTTTTAAAAGTACTTAACATTTAGAACTGGCTGAGACACTTCTCAGCTGTGTTCCAAGCAAGTCCCATGATGGAGGAAGAGCCTGTGGCCCTGTTTCACACTCTCAGGCAGGATGAGTGTTTGAGGACTAGCTAACCGGCCCAACAGGGGAGACAGAGCATCCAGAAGGGACAAAGTCTATGCACATCTCTTTATTTTAACATTTAGAAGAATCACATATTCATTCTGACAACTTTACCAGGTGTGGCCACCCAGGAGGTTACACACCACGCAGGTACCTGGGAGGTTATTGCACAGCTCCTGAACTGATCGGGTCAGGACGAAGGGGCCACTCTGCCCACAGCCAACTCGGAGTTCACCTTCCACAAGGACCCTTAATCCACACGGGCTGCAGGGCGGCGGCACTCGCACCTTGCCTCTGGAGGATAAAACCAGTGAAGTGACCACGATTCTCGTGGCTACTTGCGCTTCCGTGTCACGTTTATTGAAGTGGAACCTTCTATACTTTTCCCTAGTGCTGCGCATTGCGAGCAGACAGTTGGTAGTAGATTATGTCAGGAGTGTGTTCTGACCACTGACACAGCAGCCCTGGCTCAGAGGCTCTCCCCCTGGAAGAGTCTTAAGATTGCTTGCTGGTTGATTCTTTGGATTTCTGGCTACTTGATGGTTTCGAGGAATTTGCTGTGATCCAGGGGTGTTCCAGTACTTCTTTCAGGGTCAGCCTTTGGTTGGGGTTATGCATCAACAGTCTTGAAATCAGGTCCCTGGCCCCCTCTCGTACAAAGTCAGGGAATGTGAATTCAACCTGGAGTAAAGTAAGTGACAGGCCGTCACAAAACGTGGTTTAGAGAGAACAGTACAAACATTCAGACCGTAGCCTCAAGGGAAGGCTGAGGAGGACAGAAAGGGCTCTAACAGAGGTGCTGGGCCCCTTCCCGTTGTGTCTTACCCGAGATATTCTTTTGTAGGTCTCTTGGTATGTGCTTGCCTCAAAAGGAGGCTTCCCAACCAAAAATTCATAGCAAAGAACTCCGAGGCTCCAGAGATCCACCTTCTCATCGTGCATTCGGCCTTCGATCATCTCCGGGGGCAGGTAGTCCAGGGTGCCACAGAGGGTGGTTCTCCTGGAAGAGGGAGGTGCAGGTTGCCGCGCTTGTTTCCGTGATCACAGCAGCTGCTAAAATCATCAACAACTACCCTACCATTGACCGAGTGCTCTTCCTAGGCCAGAGCCTGTGCTCTGAGACAGGTGCTGTTCTATATCCCCACTTTTTTTACAGGAAACAGCTTCAGAGAGCTGGATAAGATCACAAGGCTAACATCCAAGCCACACCCCAAATCTGTCCAACTCCAGGAACTCCTTAAATGATGTAAAAATAAGAAATTTTAAGTATCATTGCTATATAAAGGCAGCCATACAAAGTTCTCTGTAAATACAATGTAGCATTTCTTACATCACAGATATGCTAAGAAGCTTAAGAGAGGTGACATTGATGACAAGAAACTAAACTGTCCCACTGTGACAGCACATGCTGCCTTCTGATACAGCACTGGTACAAGAGACACTAAAATTGGAGGGCGGCCTATGAAGTATTCTTGTTAAAAATATTCTCCAGGCCCTTTGGCCCAATATCCAGCAAATACAGAGGATGAAAGACAAAACTAAGTGT